GTGGTGTGTACATACTGGATGCATAACATAATGTAACTCTAGCTTTACAAGCCCTATAGCAGACAACTCAGCAGATCACAGCCTTATCATACAACCCTTCGATTGCATGGTAGAAGCTGATCTCCTCAGGCTGGAAGATGGCAATTGCCACCATAATTTCTGTAGCTTTCTTTATCCTAATATAGTGGTATAGCTTCTATTGCTGCTGTGGAATCTGGTTGCAATGTTCCAGCCTTCTCACACACAGACCACTGTGGAAGATTGTGCACATGTAGATTGTGAGGCAAGAATCCCTTAAGGGTGGGGTGTGGGGAAAATGGAGTCACCATTATCAAGATACTTGCCTGGATGCTGACCACACCTGTACCCACTGCACAGGCCCAAGGATGCTTACATAATACCCTGGCCCTCTGTGCAGGTGCATGCCGATGTCATTGTTGACAGTGAGCCAGTATCATCTGTGCTGTTACAAAAGGATGCCCACTAGGTATTCTTGCACAATGTAGATGTGATTTCAGCACTCAACCAGCTACCGCAAGAATAAACCCTGGTATGAACCCTCTAACACTCCATTGTCATTTTTCGGTCTCACTGAATCCAGTGTCAACCTGCCAGTAACCAACCACCTGCACTACACCATTTTTATGGTATATCTTAACTAGCCCTCATGATGGTTTATACTGTGGCAAGTACTCTGAAAGACAACTATATATATCAACTTCATAGAAAATATGGTGATAAAAGTTACTGGAAGTGTGAAATATGGCAGTGTAAGGCTAGACTGCCTTACTATACTATACTAGAAAATGATAAATATCAGTTAAAATGATAACACAGCTCAGTTATAAACTCATTACAGCATTAACATTTCGACATTTCCCATAGAACTTTGGAACATTTATCAATGAACATGTGACAACATGCCAAGAACAAACTGTAGAAGGCTTTCACAATGCAAAGCTCAGTTACAAATATACATCCTAGGATTTGGAAAATGATACCTCTCATAATGAAGAAATTAATAATTTTATTTTTTCATGTTATTGTTGGAACCTTTTGCCTCTTCTAGGCCTGTGACGGCTGCAGACTGGAGGTTTCCATCCTCCCTCGTTACTTCCGCGTTCGTGGCGTAACTAGCTTCCCGCGCGCGCGCTCTTGGCTCTAACTCCGCCTCCCCACCTAACCCAAAACCTTCCTAAAGACCCTAGTGACAGATGAGATGATCAATTCCCATTGGTTTCTGTTACGTCCTTATCTTCCCGTATATAACTAAGCCTCTGATGGAATAAGGCTGAGTTTTGCTGCGCCCTTGAGGCTGACACATCTCCCGGCTTGGTGTGGTTTTGTTTTTCCCCGGATCTCAGAGGAGGGTGTCCAAGCCGCCGACACTTGCCCTCTCGCTCAGCCCCAGGGGATGACAGGCTGATCCTGCTTGTCCCCCCGCCTTCTTGTTGCTGAAGAGTAACAGTTATGTCCTCTTTAATGTCTCTCTTGTATTTTTTGTTACCTCATACAGCAAAGTTGCCTTACGGACAAATTGTTATGCAGCAAAAATGTTTGTGGTGAAAATGCTTATGGCAAAGATGTTTATGGTGAAACTACCCAGAACTGGAGGCCATGGTGCTGGGTACCAAGAGAATGATATCTTTTAATGAACTGTATCTTTACCAGTATGTTGTGATCCTCTTTAGTACTTCATTTTCATATTCTTATTCTTACCCTTTTGGATGTGTGTCATAGCTTTACTAGCTTCTTTAGTTTCTGATACGACCAGATGTTCAAAGATAATCTTGTTTACTTCCTGTACCAGATCTGGAATTAGTCATTTCTCCAAGAAGCCCTGATTTCTGTTAATACGAAATGACATTTAGAAACCAAGATCTGCATGTTACAAGTGCACACTAGGACTGGGTTGACCATTATCTAGACCTTTTCAATGGACAGAGCTAGGAGAAACATTTTTAATTACTTAATTGCTATATCAATATGTATGATAGTTGTCTTAACAATACAAATATTACTGTTAATAATATACTTACTAAACAATGGCTTTGTTTTTGGTGGGGGAGGGGATTTTAAAGGTCAAGAATATCCCACTAGAGATATTTTTAAATTTCCTGAAATAGTTACTCTCCATGTGCCAACCTGATACAGATTTATCTATTTTAATTTTTAAGAGTTGATTGCCTTTAAAAAATAATTTTGTTTCTATAATTGTGTAACACACTTATATTGCTCTAAAGTATATATAACAAGACATATTCAGAAAGTTTACCTTCTGTGCCTGTTCCCTCCAACATATTTCTTCCCTTGTCCTATAAGTAACACTAAAAGGGTGTTTTAGTTTATCCTTTACTTTTTAATATAAAAAAACATTTACATATCTCCTCCTTTAATGGATAAACAATAGCATACTACATATTTTTTTTCCATTGTGCTTCTTTTCACTCAACTATAATCTATAGTTCATGCCATAGCAGAATAAGAGCTCTTTATTCCTAACTGTATCTGCATGGTGCTCCATTGGGTGAACATACCACATCTATTCAATGAATCCCCTACTGACGGACATTTGTTTTTAGTAACATTGTAAACAGTGTGGCAAAATCATTATACATTTGTGGCTCAATAAATACAGATGTACTTTTGCCAGATGCTGTCAAATTTCCCTCCATTGGGGTCATACTGTCTTTCATTCTTAACAGCAAAATATGTGAGTACCTGCCTTCTCACAACCTTGGCAACATAGTATGTTGTTTAGGTCACTTTGCAAGCAGCTTTATTGTACTAATTTATATACTTTAAAATTCACCCATTTTAAGCGTACAGGTTTAGTTTTCCTAACTTTCTCAGGTGTGCAGTTTATGCTTTACTACAATCTAATGTTAAAACACTTTCATCACCTCAATAAATTCTGTTGTGAGCTCTTTTAACAAAATGTTTGGTATAGTTATTTGGAGGATTGGGTTAACACAGATGGCATGAATTCTGGCCCCAAATACATGTGATAACAAACTTATGGTTCGGTGTTCAAGGACTTTCTCCTACTTTTCATTTAGATCTAAAGATAATAAGTAGGTAAGTTTCTCTCCTTTCTCCTCTTCTCTGAGGCACTGTGATAGTTGGGTTTTATTTGTCAATTTGGCTAGGCAATACTACCCAGTTATTCAATTAAACACTAATCTAAATGTTACTATAAAGCTATTGTGTAGACAGGGTTAACATCTACACTTAGTTGACTTGCAGTAAAGGAGATATCCTTGAAAATCTGGGTGGCCTGCAACCAATTAATTGAAAGACGTGCAGCACTAAATTGAGGTTTCCCTGAAGAATAAAATTCTGCCTTTGTACTGTAGCTTTAGCTCCTGCCAGAGGAATCTTTTACTGGTTCTATCTCTCTGGCAGAACACGGACTGCTACAGGCACCCCACCAACATCACCATCATATTCCCGTTTGATCATCTGACATGTTTTCTGGGATTCTGGCTTCATGTGAATCTCCAACCTCTCAGGCCTCATGTTTTTGTCTATTCTGTCTACGTGGCAAAGAGCAGCATAAGATAGACTTAAATCTCTGGATTTTTACTTACTTATTATCTAAAGCAAAAATCTTGGTTCTTTTCCCAACAATTCAGCCAAGTGTTTTAAAAGATGCTTTAAAAAATATTTTAACCAAAATTTTTACTTCAATACTGGAGGACTTCTCTGGACATCTAGTCTTCCACTAACCAGAAATGGAAATCATCATATTCACCCTTATATTTTCTTTTGAGTTTTACTATAGTATTTAGGATATCCCAGGAGTCATAGGCAAGTTGTACAAAAGATTTTCAAAGAAGTACACAAAAAAGATATTTTAAAGATCTTTAAATCTGCTTTCCAGATCTTTGAACTCTACCCTTCCCTAAAATTGATCTACCTTTTCCAAGAACAGGCTCTTCTTACCCCTCCTCATAATCAACTTTGTACTGCTGTGCTAAAAAAAATAAGTATTTCTCACCCATTCTGAATCTCACTCATACTTTGCTCTATGGGTGCAAAAACCTGGGTCACAAATGGCTAAGTTAAGAATGGATAGCTCTTGAGGGAGAGTCCCACATGGACAAAACAACTCCTGTGCAAAATGCTAAAGTGGCCCACGTGTTGGTGCCTCCAGGGGATGGCCCATCGCAATGCTTCGTGCCTTTTCTGTCTGTCTCAGAGTTGAATTCAGAAATGAGATTATCATCACAGGAATGTGTATTAACATTTTCATTTTCAAATCAAAGTAAGACTTTTTCTAACAGAAAATGAGTTCGGTTTGGTTTATTACTTTGATAAAGAGGACTAGTTTTGTCCTTAAAATTACAAAGCAGATATACTCCATAAATTGAATGAGCTATGTAGCTTCATGGTGATGAGGGAAAATATGTTAAAGTATACTTAATGTACAATAAACTGGAAATTATATCATTTCAACTACTTGTGCTTATGATTAAAAAACTATAGATGCCAAAAATGTGTGGAGGAGATAACATAATTTTAAAAGTCGTTTTAGGTCTCAAAGACCATTGACACATCCATTTTTCCCTTTCTAATGTTTTTGCCTTTTTAAGTTGTTTTTATAATTGTTGTTTTAGTACTTTTATCTTTTTAGAATAATTAATAGTTCTTAGGTTATAAAATTTTCAAGTGTGTTTTACCTAGTTACTGCAAACCATGGAAAGGATGCCCAAAGGTACTATTCAATTATCAAATGCAGTAGAACTTTGGTTAAAAATTAGATTTTAAAGAGTCCTTCCTTAGTGGTTTAGTTCAATAACATTTAAATGACATGCACAGAGTACTCATTTTGGCACTATTTCTAATGGCTAAAAACTGGACCAAATATCCATATAAATTGTGGCATACTTATACAATGGAATATTATAATAATAAATATGAATGAATTCATACTACATAATTTGTGGATCAATCTCAAAATATAATGTTGAATATCAGAATCCACACTCAAAAGTACATATTGTGTAATTCCATTTATATGAAGTTCAAAAACAAGAAAACTATCTATGGTGATAAAACTGGCACAGTGTAGGGTAATGACTGAGACAGGGCAGGAAGGAGGCTTCTTACGTGCTGTTGATATTCTACATCTTGATCTGGGCAGTGCTTAGGCAGGTGTGTTCACTGTATAAAAATGCATCAAGATGTATAAACTTACGTTCACTTTTCTAAATGTCTGTTAGACTTCAAGAGAAGTTTACTAAAAAGTAAAAATAAAAAGACTTTGTGCTTCTTTCCACCAAAATAAAATAATGGCAAATATTTTGCCAAATAGTCTATTCTACCTATCTTTTATTTTTGCCGATAATAGAGATGATATTCTGATTAACACTCTCTCACTCAGAATGTCACTTAGCCTTAGCCTGTGCAGCCAGTGCGGCTTCCTCACGCCACTTAGCTTTCTTTGCTAGGTTCCAACTTGTTAAGGATTCATGTCGTTCTGCAGCCTGGAAAAGAAAAAACAGGGAAGAAAAGCAAAGTGATTCCCTGGAAAGAATCTGGTTTTAGATAGACATAATAGGAGAGACTCTTTGAGAAAGAAAAAAGTAACTTAAAACATCTGTCACAAATAGTATCCAAGAAAAGTGATCCTTATAGAACAGAAAAAAATTACTTAAGTTGCTAGACTTGGAGTCAACAGGACAGCTGATATTAGAAATCTGCCCCTACCTTCTCTTGGCACACATAAAACATATTTGTTCGATAAAAAGTAAAAAAGAAAAAAAAATCAAATACTTAAGTTCAAAATCAAGAAAGGAAAATCCTTGGGTACCAGAGATGGTAAGAACTCCAAAGGCATGAATTGGTGGGGGATGAAAAGGACTAAAGTCAGGAAGGAAGAAAATGGCTTCAGTCAGGGGATATTAGGAAAAAAATATTGCCTTAACAGCTATAGACTGGGAGTTTAATCTCTGCAACAGGTAATTCCAGGATTTGGATTTGGAGTTGGAAATATCAGGAAAAATTATGCAATGATGAAGTGAAATGACTAAAACAACTCTCACTAGCCCGAGGAACTGGCAAGGAGATTAGGCATTTATCTTGGCAGAAAATCATCTGTGAAAAGGAAAGATAATCAGCATGATAATTATGAGGTAAGAACTCTAGGAAATAGATCTGAGGAAATAATCTAAATGTAGTACAGAGATAAAGATACAAAAAATAGAGAAGTTAAGAGACATGGAGAATAGAATTTAAAGTTCCAACACACATTCATAATAGGTGGAAAGAATAGATAGAATGGGGGAAGGAGCTATATTCAGAATTATAATAGCTTAGATTTTTTTGGAAGCAAGGAAAGTCAGAGACCCTCAGACTGAAGAGCAAATACAATTTTAATAGATATTGATGGACATCTAATATGTATCCTACACTTAAAACATAACCAAAATAAAGGACCTGATATATTTTGCATATCATGCCCACCAGTTCTTTCCGCAGCCTTACACATCTCAACACATGGCAGCAGCATCCACCTAGTTCCTCAAGTCAAAAATTCGGGCTTTTGGTTTCTTTCTTCCATTTTTTCCCCTCTTCCCAGATTGAATTTACCACAACCTTCTATACTTTCTACCTCCCCAAATGTATCTTAAATTATTAACCTTTCTCTACTTCTATCTGCCACAGTCTTAAAGTACATCATTAATTGATCAAAATAAAAGGTGAACTGGAGAGAGGCAAAAGGGACAGCAGTGAGATCATTCAGAAGATATGGCAAAAAACTAGGCAACAGATAATTGGTTATCTCAGATCATAATGATATTAGAAGACATGGTGAGGAGTAATCCATTTGTGGATATATTTTAAAGTGGAGCCAACAGGACTGCTGATGTATATGACTTATTTATGAGCAGCTGGGAAGATGATTAACTAGTGAATACCTGTATGAGGCCATTTTTGATGAGGTAGTCAGGGAATCTCTTTCTGAAAAAAATGAGAATAAGCCAGCAAGGGTAAGACCAGAAAAAAGGAAAGCCTAGAGGAATAAGGGTTTGGTGTATTAGAGTACAGAAAGGTACTGGTGTGGATGGAGCATAACAAAGAGAAAATGATATGAAACAGGGAGGGTCAGACAGTATCAAGCCCCAGTATGTCATGTAGGTGCTAAGAGAATCAACAACATGTAGGCTGTCAATTACCTAGGGTAGGCTAAAAGAAGAGATGACAAAATTTCTTTATTTCTGTGTTTGTGTTCAGCCCAGCAAATATTTAGGAAATTTCCCATCTGATGAGAATAATCTAAGTTCTTTGCCAAGTCAAAAGAAATGAATGGACATATACATGATGTCAGTGAACCTACAGGCCTTAGTGCCTATGTGAATTAGTGGCCTCAATACTCTTAAAAAACCTGAGAAATAAAGGGCAGAATCATATGATGAGGCAAAGTGGTAGCTGGCTAAACATGTCCAGAGAGAGAAGATGTATGGATCCAAGCAAACTATTTTGTGAGATGTAGCTGCTAAAATCTATATCCAATTCTGTCAGCACTATTAAAACTGTGTTCATAAACAAGTACGTTACAACCACATTCTAAGGATTCAGCTGCAGGTGCCACAAATGAAGAGGACACTGATAAAACTGTAGGGTGTCCAGAGGAAAGCTCAAAGTAGAGGGGAGTTGATAATTACTGAGAAATCAAGACTGGCAGAAGAGAAGATTCACAGGGATGTGTTAGATGTCTTCCAACATTGTGGGACTGCTCTTCATGGTAAAAGTGATATGCAGATGGAAGGGTTTGAGGAAGCAAGAAACAAAACTAGAGAGTCAGTACAACACAGAGAAGACAAGTTCGATAGCATCGTATTATGCTGATGGACAGTGACTGTAATGGGATACGTCGTGGGGACTTGATAATGGGGGAAGTCTAGTAACCATACTGTTTGTTGCTCATGTAATTGTACATTAATGATAGCAATAGATAGATAGATGAAAAATTAAAAAAAAGAAAACTAGAGAGTCATCAACTCTCAATTTCTCTCTAGAAACCACATACTGGAGATAATAAGGAAGGAACTCATAAACAGGGTATAGACAAGCCAGTGAACCGTGGAGATCACTTCTAAGATTTGCATTTCTATTTCATGATTCCATACAATAGCATGTGATTTAAGGAATGATCTCCTCTCTGGATAACTTTCATATGAAGAAGTTGTTCTTATGCAATTTAAACCAGGCTGTAAACTCTCCTGTTTGTTTTGTTTATCTTATCAGTGAAAACAAACTTTTGTCCCATATAGTTAATTTGTTGACTCCAATTTCCAGTAACAAATTTGTTTCCATTATAATGGATACATGTGGGTGGTTTGGGATGTCTAAGATGAAATTGTTCTTACACTGAAAGAACAGCAATGATTCCCATATTGAGAACAAGGCTCACAATATTTCTTAAAACTCACAATTCTATCTCTATTTTTAAAGAGGTACTTACCCTTTTGGCTGACGCTATCACAGCAAAACATGCGATAATTGTGAGTCCAATCATTATGTAACAAGCTTTCACTCGAGCTTTGTTTCTTGCAGCATCTATCATTTCTGGCCTAAACCAAAATGTATAGTCAACTGTTAAAGCAATATGATTTTCTGACTGGCAAAACAGACCATTTGTTATGTAAATATTCCCAAAATGTCCCTGAATGCAAACTGCAGATGTGAAAGACTTCCAAATGCTAGTCCATTATCTTACCAATTTCAAATTGACCTTCAATTTTCAAATTTAGGTCATAATTAATGTTAGCCACTACGAAACACAGTGTAGCATATTTAGTTTCTAATTGCTCACAATGTAACTACTAGAGAGTACACCTAACTTTCCATCATTTTTTCTTTCCACTTGCTAAGGTAGAGATAAGAATTAAAGCCTATGTATGTTTATGACTCGGGTCCATTTGGCTTGTGTTAGTTATCAGGTGGGCTTTTGTATTCAGTCTTAAATAGCTTGATTTTTAGAACTCATTTTCATCATTTTGCTTTTTCACTGGCTTTCCAAACTTATTGCCCCCTCCCATCCTATCCCAATTAAAGATACTGTATTTACTTACTTATGATCACTGTTATACTATTAATATACTTCATACCTTTTTTAAGAATGGATATTAGTGAAAGGGTGTTTCCTTTATGGATTTTGCATGAAGTTTTCAAAAAGTGATCAAAATCATAACTGGCTAAAGAAAAAGAAGATGGCTTTGTTTTCTTATTATTTTTAAATTTTATCTGCTTATTTGAATAGTGGGAGGTCTTATTTATTAATAAAGTTACATGCAAGTTGCCCGAGCTTGTGGCAATACCACTTACAAAACAGTGTACAAAATTTATCAGGCCTTGGGTCTTTTATACTGAAAAATACTTAAACAATTTGCATAATTAAACTTCAGTTTATAAATACACATCATTAAAGAATGAGTCTTGAGAATGTATTTGGCAGTTTTCTTTATTATCTAATGTCGTTTAAATAGAATAGTTACATTAAAAAAAACTTCAGAAAGACAGGTTGCAATTTCTTTCAAAAATGAAAACTTTTTAACCTTTGCACTAATTGAAAAGAGCACAGGAAACCAATATCTAGCCTGTTTTTCTTATATTTTAGGCAGACTAATGTAAGTTTTACGATGATAGATGCAAACTGGTGAATGTGGAGACATTATTAGATTTTATTTGTTGCTGACTTTTGTTCCAGATGGAACCTAAAAGATCTGATCTTTATTATCCATCCATCTGGCTTTGATCTAATTTTATAACAAATTAGTTGAGCACTGAAAAAGGCAAGAGAAAGTACAGTTATTACTAAATATCATTAGTGTATGGTACAAAAATTATAGGTCACTTGTTAATTATATGTCCATTAACAGCACACAAAGTGAAAGCTGTTTCTATGGTAAGTCTAACACTTAGCTTAGGAGGCACATGTCTCCTAAAAAGCATTGCTTAAAAAAATTATAGAAAATAAAAAAATGAAAAATATTCAGATATTTTCATGTTTCCATCTCAAAACTGTATTTTTCATTGGCATCTTGTTCAAAGTACTTCTTTGTTATCCTGAGGAAATTGGTTTGTTTCTGTAAAATGAGTCTTTTCACATATACAGCTATGTTGATGAAAGAGGATCTACTTACCGTCTCTTAACAAGTATCAATTTACAATCATGCAGGTTCTTTACATTCCTGACTACCCTGTTATTAGAATTCAAAATCCAAAAAATTTCAGGGTGGTGTTTTAATTTTTCTGAGGCTAATTTCTGCTTTAGGCGAAGTCTGTACTTTGGAGTCTATAGATCTCAAGGAAAAAAAATATTTCTTAATATTAAATAATGTGTCTGAGATTGAATACTGAAAACAAATTTCAAATCCCATGTTATTTCAAACTCTTGTCCATTCCTCATTAAATACTTTGATCCAAGAAAGGAATAAAACTGTTTAAGAATTGTTGAGTGAACATTTCCCACCACATTTCTTTCGATTTATTTCAGATGCTTTTGTAACTTGCAAATGAACGAGCAATAAAGATGTAGGCAATATGTGCAGAAGATGTAGGCCCAGTTTCCATTACCCATTCTCACAGGACTTGGTTACATTGTATAAATATAGTATACAAAACACGTGAAATCCTTATTTGATATAGCTTTAGTCTTCCAATTTTTAAAAAAATATCCGTTTAAAAAGTAGCAGATTGATTTTATTCTTGGTTTTCTTCCTCCTCTTTTACCCACTCTCTTTTGAAAGTGCTGGGGAAGATTTTTGGGCTGTGCATAAATTAAAACTAGAAGATAGTTTTTTACATTTTTAAAAAACAGGTTACATTTATCCTAGGTGAAGCTGTCAAGCTTTAGTTTTACCTTTACGGAATCTCTTGCTTTGGATTTGGGATGGTGAAAAGTCCAGCGATGCTCCGGGGATCCCAGCCTGAGTAAATCTGGTGCTCAGAAGGCTGTACAACGACGTACAGCCTGGGATTCCCCGGCCCAGAAAAGGAGGTCGTGTGTCTGCGGCCTCTTCCCAGAGGCTTTTCAGCCATCCCGGGAGCCATGATCCTTTCTTGGGTGGAGCAGGGAGCCGCCCTGACCACAGCCCTTCTTCCTCTCTGGCTTCCCCGTAGCCACCCAGGATGCACCCGAGGGCTGTGCCTTCCTTCTCTTTGGCCCTAGTGCTCCGGTGCCTCGCGGCTGGTAGCTTGCTGGGGGCGGGTATCGGAGCAACGGTGCAAATGCCCACTGAACGTCTGGGTTGTCACCCACTGTCAACAATCTCCCTGAGCACTTAGCTGCCCACAGTCAAGGAACTTGACATTTAGCCGCATTAGGGGTGTGATTCTTAAGAATTGGGGCTCTGCGGCGGCCTTCGCTCCAGGCACGCCCAAGTCGACAGGTGGCTAGACCCCGCGCCCCCCCAGGCCCGGCCAGACCCTCCCTGAACCCGAAACCGGGTGGCCTCACAGACCACACTTACGGGATCCGAGGCGGGATCTCTTCTATCGCTTTGAAACGCCCGGTCCACAGCAAGATTTTCTTGTCGAATTGCGAGGGCGTGTGCTCGGCGGGGACCCTGTGAACCTTTCCTGTTGCAAAAGCAACAGTGATGGACCATGTAACCAACACAGACGGCGCAGTGGTTAGGTGTGCAGCCCCGGCCCCCGCTCCTCTCCGGCCCCTGGCAGCCCCCTCCCTCTCAGGACATTTTCCCAGCCCCGGCTCACCCGGATCTTGGGGCCCAGAGCCCCTGGGGGTCCCGCCTGTGGAGTAGCCGGGGAGACCCCGGGACCGGAGAGTCGTCCCCGGGGCACATCGGAGGAGGCTCCCCGGGCCGGGACGTAGGAGACTCCCCACGGCGGCGGCGAGCATGCTGCGCCCAGTTCCCCTGCCCGCAGCCGCAGGCCGAACCAGCGCGCCAGCTGCCGGGCCATCCGCCCAGACCCCCCTTCGACCCCGGGCGCTCCCAGCGTAGCGGCGGCGCACAGCTGGAGCTCTGACGCGCGCCTGCGCAGCTCCCGGGCCCCGCCCCCGGCCGGCCACCCAGCGCAGGGCGCCACGACCCTGGGCACTGGTTCCCTCACGGGCGGGGCCCAGGGAGCTGCCGTCTCGGCTGGAACACTCGGCGCAGAGATCCCCCACCTGCTGAATGCTCCCTGCAACTCATTTCAAAGGCATTTTTGTGTACTGAGAAGAAACTTGTTTCCGTCAGGCTTTCACCCCTTGTTCGAAGAAATCTAAACCCTCTCCTCCAGGAAGAGCCAGCAGTCTTTCAAGTGTAGGATATTTCAAATTTTACCAAGTGGAAGGACACTCGATAAAGTTCTGATTTTCCCATGAGAATTTTTTGAACTTGGCGCCTCACCCCACCCTCCATACTTTTTCACTTTTCTAAGCAAAATAACCTCAGTTGCTACAGTTTTCTCCACCTCTTGGTTTTTAGAAAGAAAACAAACTCTCCAAACTCCCTTCAAAAGGAGCCTTTCTTCTAACTTCCATCATCATTCTTCTGCGCAAACGGTACAATCTACTATTCTCTGGCATCAAATGGGAACAGGGACTCGGAGAACAGACAAGCTGAAGAAATTACTCTGCTTATTCATATTCCATGGACAACAGACCCCAGCCAGGTCAATGTGCTCTTCAGGACCTAGCCCCTGGCCCAGCTTACCCAGAGGTGGAGGGTGGGGGGGGCAGCTATTTCTTAAGAGTGGTTAGGGTTATTCCTCTAAATGTGCCTCACACACAGTAACACTTCAGAAGATGCTATGGTTTCTTTCCCTTCATAGTCTTTGTTTAAGTCCCAAAACACAGGATCATTTTAATTCATAAAATCTCCTGTAGGGGATTGTACGGAGCTATGAGCTCCCTGGTGATAAGGGTTATTATCTTATTCACCATTGTACCCCCAGGATTTACCTGAAAATTAGCATTTAGCAGATACTTAAAAAGTATTTGCTTAAAAAAAGAGTAAGTGAATACAACTCCTCAATAATAAGATAGACTCCATCTGGGCTAGTTTAAGACAGAAATATATGAGGACATGCTACATGATGAACTGAATGAGTTCCAACCTGGCAAAGAATGTTGCCATAGATAATATTTGATTGTTCCAGGAATATGCTACTTGAAAATCCTCCCATTACTCAAAAGTGCTATTTTTCCTCACATCGCTAAAATATCCATAGAGCTACAGAAATACATCTTTTCAAAACAACCAATCACTAGTAATTCACAAAGGAATATTAAACTAGCTAAATAAGTTTATTTCCCTGGAGAGAACCAAATGTCAGCTTTCTATGTCAGGCATGTTTTTCTATCTCAAGCTTCTCTAGTACTGCAGAACAACAGAGAATAAGGGCTTATGTCATGAGAGAAAGAACAATTTGCATTCTGGTCCCCCTTCCTCACTGGATTAAAATATCCCTATTTGGCAGCGGCCTACATTAAAAAAATTACAGCTGCATGAGAGATGCTTTTTCTTCAGTTCCAGAATTGGAACAAAAAAACTGCAAACAACTTCTCATAGAATTAAAATCTAATTATATTCCTTTCATTCTTCTTTTTTCTTTCTTTTCTCCCAGTCTTCCCCGCCTCCCCCCCTCTCGGCCCAGAGTAGCTCATTTATTCACTTAACAAATTTACTGAGTGCCTCCTTAGTAGTCTCCAAGGTTATAGCAGGTAAGCAAACGAAGACGGTTCCCCCTACAGAGCTTATTATTAATCCATGATGCTTTCAGTTTACCAGTTGTGCACTATCTTATTTTTTGATACAATGACATCGATTTGTGTGTACTTACAATTTTGTTCCTTCAAGGTTTGTTTTTGATTAGTATCATTTATGTTTCCATCAAGGAATAAATTTTAAACAAAGTTTGTGGGTAAAATTGTAGTTTTTCCAGAATCCCTTACCTGGCTTTAGTGCATCTCCAAATCAACTGGCATTTCTAAGGGGTGGAGAGAAGTACTTCATCTCCGTATCAGTGGTAATTACCTGGGCCACCAAGGGCTTATCTGAACCTGAGAGGCTGGGGGGAGGTTTTGCTTGCTTCTGCCAGCTAAGGAGAGAGATGGCCCCCAGACCAGTTTGTAAGCAATAAACGGGTTTTAAACTTTATTTCTCCCTTTGACTGATTTTGGTTTTAGAGGTATTTTGCCCAGGGATTTCCTCTCCCTGGAGTTACATCTGGTGGAAGTTAGCAGGACCTATGAACCTGAAATCTGCCTAAATGGGTGCGACCTTTGGGAGGGCTGCCCCTGGAGATGGTGTGGAGATGCCCAGAAGCCCCCCTGTGGATAGGGGGGCGTCCCCAGTGGCTGCAGTGGCACAGGGTACAGCTTCATCTGTTACTGTCCCCTTATCTGTGGGTTTTCCAATTTGAGCGCCCCTAGTGAGAAATTGGTCTAGCGTAAAGCATCTCCTAGAGGGATGGGCCCTTCCCCAGAACTAGGGAAGGGTGGAGACACGGGAAGCTGCAGAATTTGCCCTCTGTGAGATAGAACACTGCTTAGAGGTCCTGAGTGGCTGTGTAACAGCTGGCATTAGGGAGTCTCTTTTCCTTGAGATAGTGGAAAATGTTATCGAGGAAAGAGAGAAGGTTATGCAGGAGAGAGACTATCAAAGAGAAAGAGAGGATTATCCAGAGGGTTAGGGAAGAGAGGGAGGGACTTAGGTGGGAGAGGGAAACACTTCAGCATTGCTTGGAGAAGCTGGGTGATAACCTATGGGATGCCCTTAAGGAATAGTTATTGAAAAGACAGGTGTAAGTCCGGGGAAAGGAAATCCTGGGGCAAAATACCTCTAAAAACCAAAATCAGTCAAAAGGAGAAATAAAATTTAAAACCCATTTATTCCTCACAAACTGCAGTCCCAGGCCATCTTTCTTCTCTGCTCAAGCAGCCACAATACCGGCCCTCCCCCTCACCTCTCAGGTACAGATAAGCCCTCTGTTACCCAGGTATTTACCCATTGATATGGAGATGAACTTCTCCACCCATAAGGAAAGATGCAAATGAACTAAAGCCATACTTCTTTCCACCTCTGAACCCCTATTGATACGCAGATATACTAAAGCCAGGTGAGATATTCTGGAAATGTTTCAATTTTACCCACAACAGGTCGAGCTCCTGGAAGATTCATTAGCAGTGGTGAGGGAAGAAGCGACCGGAAAAGCCACTTTGCAGGAGGCCATGGGGGAGGGGAGGAAAGAGTGGTGCCTTCAGCCCCAGAGATGATGGAGGAGCCCAGGGGGATGGGGTGGTGGGATGTGGAGGGGAAGATGGGCCAATCTGCTGCCAAGGCCAACACCCGAGGTACAAGCCACTCCTGTATTAAAGGCCTGCCCTGCTATAATTAAGAAAATAAAAACAAAACAACTGTGGGCTCCTCCGGAGGAGGAGCTGCCCCCTTCCCAGGTTATGGAGCATTCCATGCTCCACCCCTATACTCAGAATGAGCTGGTGAATATGAACGTCCAGCATAGGCAGAGGCCATCAGAATCTCTACCTACGTGGCTTTTACGTCTCTGGGATATGGGGGTGGAAAACATTGTTATGTCAAGTGCTGAAATGAGTAGAATGACTTCCCTGACAACTCACTCTTCCCTCTGGTAGCTGTTGCCAAGTGCCTGTCATGCCTCAAGGAATGGCTGACAGCTGCCATCAGGACAGTTTGGCCTAATCAGGGTGATTTACCATATCTATCCACTAGTTGGAAAACGTATGTAGAGCTCCAATACTATTGTGGAAATTGGGTATGCAAAATATCATCTATAATATGGACCCCCAGGGCCCAGATGAGGAGGTGTTCATGGTAGGAATGAGAAATCCAGTGCTGCATACAGCTCCCACATCTCTCTTTGGGTCCCTAGTGAATACTCTTGCCCCCCACCTAGGGCAACCCATAAGTACCCATAACTTGTACTTTAGCATATCTGGGGGAGGTTCAAACAGTAAGGGTAATACTGGCTATGCCTGAAAGGAGAGGTGCAGAAGGCCCAGTGAAGGTCTCAAGGACCCAGATGTGGGTTGATTTGCTATAGGCCAGAGTAGTGAAAGAAAAACTTGATCTTATTAAAAGTGTGACACTAATTAAAACCAGAGCAGCAGTTCCAGCCGCTGAGGTCCAGGACATGGAAACCAGAGTCAAGGCCTCATTCTCTGCCTGTGTCCCTGCAAAACTTCCTGGGGGACAGTACTCAGGATTCGCCTGGGCCCTCACACCCACAGGAGGATGATTGGGCATTGCGGTTCAACTGAGGAGGGGTCAAGGTTCCCACCTTGGGGTACATGGTGGGGACCAGAGGCCACATGTAGAATTAACAGTTCATTGGTCACCTGTGAATGTACAATGTGTCCTGGTGCTGGTGGACACAGGAGCTGAGTGTTCTCTGATTTATGGCAACCCTGAATGTTTTCCCGGGACCCCTGCTGTAATAGATGGCTATGGGAGTAAGGCAATTAGAGTGAAGAAAGCCCAAATCCCATTGGGGATAGGGCATTTACCCCCAAAGGAGTATACTGTGTACATATCTCCCATCCCTGAATATATTTTGGGGGTCGATATCCTGCAGGGCCTGTGGTTACAGACGCATGTGAGTTCTCACCAAGAGTGCATGTGGTAAAGGCAGTTCTGAGGGGACATGCTAAGCACCCACCTGTAGTGCTGCCTGTACCTTGGCAGGTGACAAATACTAAGCAATATAAATTGCCTGGGAGGCACAAGGAAATTGCAGAAACTAAAATTGGAGAAGATGGGGAAGGTGGGCATCATAAAGCCCACTCATAGTCCTTTTAATTCCCCAGTGTGGCCAGTGAAAAAGCCAGATGGCTCCTGGCAAATGACTGTGGACTACAGGGAATTGAATGAAGTCACACCCGCTTTGCATGCTGCTGTCTCCTCTATAGCAGCCATTCTGGACACCCTTAGCCATGAGCTGGGAATGTATCATTATGTAATAGGCCTTGCTAATGCTTTCTTCTCTATTGACATAGCACAGGAAAGTCAGGAACAGTTTGCCTTCACGTGGGAAGGCTGGGAGTGGACATTCACTGTCCTTCCACAGAGATACCTCCACAGTCCCACTGTTTGTCATGGATTTGTAGCCCAGGACTTGGCGACATGGAGGAAACCACAAATGGTGCTGCTGTAGCACTACATTGATGATGTTATGCTCATGTCTGATTCTCTTTCAGATTTAGAAGAGGCAGTTCCTAGACTATTGTAACATCTACAGGAGAAAGGATGGGCTGTGAACAGCACCAAGGTTCAGGGACCTGGTTTGTCTGTAAAATTCTTGGGGATTGTCTGGTCGGGTAAAACTAATGTTATTCCTGAAGCAATTACAGACAAGATCCAGGCTATCCCCACCCCTACCACTGTGGCAGTATAACAAGTTTTTGGGTCTTTTGGGCTATTGGAGAGTATTTATCCCACACTTGGCACAAATACTGAAGCCCTTATACTGGTTGGTATGAAAGGGCATCAGGTGGGACTGCGATGAAACATGTGCAGCTGCTTTTACTGCTGCTAAGTGAGCAGTCAAGGCTGTACAGGCCTTGAGTGTAATGGACTCATCAAGGCCCTGTGAGCTAGATGTTCATGTAAATAAAGATGGTTTTGGATTGGGTCTTTGGCAGCAGCTTGAATGGACATGCTAACCTATTGGATTCTGGTCCCAACTATGGAAAGGAGCAGAGGTCTGGTACAGCTTGACAGAGAGGCAACTGGCTGCTTTGTACCATGCCTTACAGGCTATGGAGCCCATCACTGGAACAGCTCTGACCAAGGAAATAAACACCTATCCCATTGCAGTGTGGGTGCAAGACTGGACCCAAAGGCCACAGGGTGGTGTGGCACAAATGCCTACACTGGCCAAATGGGGCACAGCTTACACATAGCACCCTCTCTACTAGCCTCATAAGTGAAGAACTCCAATGTTTATTGGGGCCAGTGATGTATACCAGTGGAAAGCAGGAAGAACTTGCTTTTGAGCCATTGGTAACTGAGACTCCTTAGCAGGAGGGAAAAGCCCCTATACCTGAAGATGCTTGATATACAGACACTCTAATCAGGGGCAGTCCTCAAAGTGGAGGGCTGTGGCTTTCCATCCTAAGACTGAGACAATATGGATGGAGAATAGTGAGAGGAAGAGCAGCCAATGGGCTGAGTTGCAGGCCGTATGGCTCATGATCACCCAGGAGCACTCCCCTGTAGTCTGCACTGACAGCTGGGCCGTCTATCAGGGCTTGACCCTGTGGCTACCAACATGGTACCATGCAACTGGATGCTTGGTCACCAGCCCCTTTGGGGGCAAGAGTTGTGGCAAGACCTATGGGCCTCTGGTCAGACTAAGACTGTTACTATATAGCATGTGACTGGCCATTTGCCTTTGGCATCCCCAGGGAATGATGAAGCAGACACACTAGCCCAGGTGTGCTGGCTAGAAGGAAAGCCTGCCTCTGATGTGGCCCAATGGCTACATCAGCGTTTGCTGCACATGGGACAAAAGACAATGTGGGCTGTAGCCAGTCGATTAGGCTTGCTATTAACCTTTGAAGAAGTCAGCCGAACCCAAAAGGAGTGACTTGTGTGTTCTAAGAGAAATTTACACTGAATCCCGCAGCAACATGGGACAACAGTAAGGGGGCTGTCACCCCTTGTCGGGTGGCAGATAAACCATATTGGGCCTCTGTCCATATCAGAAGGATATTGGTATGCCATGACTTTGTGGATATGGCTACTGGACTCTTGATTGCTTTTCCTGCACATTGTGCAGATCAGAAAACCACCAAGAGGGGTCTAGATCATCTCTTTGTAACCTATAGCCAGCCTCAGGTGACTGAGAGCAATCAAGGCATCCACTTTACTGGACATGTCTTACAAGGATGGGTGCCGCAATTAGGAATAAAGTGGAAATTTCATGCACTATATAATCCTCCCGGGGAAGGCATAATAGAGATGTACAATGGTTTGTTGAAATCTGGCATGAAGTCAGACACCAATAGTCTACAGGGCTGGCCAGTTCACTTATGGACAATGTTACAGCATTTTAATGAGAAGCGCCAAAAAAGAGCCTTGAGTCCTGGGATACGCTAACACACATTGCTGCCTTTCCCATACAATTGTATGTGCAAACCAAGGAGGAGTTACCGAAGCCAGGATATGGCCAGCAGAGCAACATCCTGCTGCCAGCCCCAACTTCATTAAGCCCTGGTGACTGTTGAATGGGTGTGGCCCTGGACATTTGACACATGGACCAGTGATGGCTGGCCCTTCTGGAATCTTGGAGAAAAGGCCAGGAAGCTGGCCTTGTATGTATTCCTGGAGTAACAGCAGAGTTTCCCTAAAGATCACAGTAGTGTACCCAAAACATCCGGGAGGTTAAGAGGATCTTATGGGTAAGTTTTGTTTTATCTTTATGGCTGGTGCATGTACCTCCCAAAGCCATACATATTGGGTATTTGGCTCAATATATGTATGGAACCATCTGTAACTCCCACAGAGAGGGGCGTCAAAGTCTCGTATACTAGACCAGGATGAGATCCCATTCCTGCCACTGTTCTATCACAGGTCCACTTTCTTGCATGTATCCTACCTGATGGACATGATTTGCCCATGCTGGTATCATTAAAACATGTATCTTAACGCCTCTAAGGTTATTTTCTTCTATAGTCCTTATGGCCTGGATGTGCCCCCTGGCTGCAGCTTCTGTGTGTTGATTGCTCTTAACTGTCTACCTCTTCAGCTACTGCCTGCCGGTGGAATGGGTGGGGTATGGACTTAATTCGCATAGGACTTTGAACCTAGCTGAATCCTATGGCTTGAGGATTATCATAATTATATTGCTATTGCTACTGTATGTCATTAGTCTGGTCACAATGCTCCAGTTTTCTCACCCAGGGACCATTGTGGAAGAGGGGGAGTGAGTAGATTGAAAGGCAAGATTTCTGTAAGGGTGGTCTATGGGTAAAATTGTAGTATTTCCAGAATCCCTCACCAGGCTTTATTTCATCTCCATATCAACAGGCATTTCTAAGGGATGGAGAGAAGTACTTCATCTCCATATCAATGGGTAATTATCTGGGCGACCTGGGCTTATCTGAAGCTGAGAGGTTGGGGGGAGGTTTTGCTTGCTTCTGCCAGAGCAGGAGAGAGAAGGCACCCAGACTGCAGTTTGTAAGCAATAAATGGGTTTTAAACTTTACTTCTTTCTTTGACTGATTTCAGTTTTAAAGGTATTTTGACCTGGGATTTCCTCTTCCTGGAGTTACAAGTTTTTATGTTGAATGAGTGGAAAGTGAGGGTAAATTTTAAATTATTTTTTTATAATTAGTGAAAGCTACTTTGTGCTTGGCATTGGGCTAGGACAGAAGATGCAAAGGTTGCTGCAGAACTGTCCTTGAGAAGCTCCCAGTTTGGCTGAGATGATAGTCCCTCATCAAGAAATGCCTTGTTCCCAAAGGAGGAGCTTGGAGTGACCTTAACTAACTTGTTTTCCAATCCCCTACCATAATAGGTCTATAGCGATAGTTTACCAGCGGGCCCAGCTCTCAGCGCTCTCCAGTGCTTCAGGCAACCTTATCAAGTGAGTGGTTCAAGTGAAGGTGCAGTTACCACTAGATACTAACTAAGCATGCACTTGGAAAACCAGCAGAAACTCAAAAGGAAATCTCAGAAACCATTAGTGAGCTCTTATATATAGATCTTTATGTTATTCCTTTTATTTGTTATTTTTTCTGCTGTAGTTCAGTCTTCATTCTCTTAACCATCCTATTCCAATGACCTCCAGAGTATATTCTCATCTCTGGGTAATTTTTTATCCAATCCTCTGCTTAGCTTTCAGAGATCATTTCCTAAAACATGGATGCCATGCAAAACTTTCATGGTGCCCACTTCTTCCCTATTCCTTCCCTAACCCTGTACCCCATGCCCCTGTTCATTGACTACAAAAACAACCCTGAAAAAAATCATAACGAGGCCGGTCTCTTTCAAAGTCTCCTACTTTGATATTTTGCATGGTCTGATTCAAACTCTCTGTCCTTCTCATATACGTAGACATTTAAAATGTCATTAAGTCACACTGAATAACTCTGTGCTAATGGTGATCCAAAACAGCTATCGAATAACGTAATGGTTTAGTTCTGGCTTGGATGGCTGGGTAAGCAGTGTGTGTGACCACTGCTCATCAGGGCATGACTGAGTTCTGACTGCTTGGGTTTGCTTGTTGTCCCATTGTCCTAAAC